ACATCTGTATGTGTGTGCAAGAGAAACACACAGGAGAGTGTGCATGCATGTGTGGGGGGCTGGGCCGGGGCTTGGCTTGGGGCACAGGAGATCCTGAAAGATGGCCATCCCCTCCTCCCAGCCTCCCTGCCTGAATCCTTCTGTAGCAAATTTTGACTAAAGGCCCCAAGTATTTGTGGTAAAGTTTTAACATGGGAGGGATTTGTGCTGTTCTAGGATGAAGGGCAGGAATCAGGGCTGGGGGAAGGGTGTCAGGTGTGTGGGTGCCAGGGATGGAGCCTGGCTCAGTGGAGACAGGAGCTGTTGGGGCTTAGAGCTCAGGGAGGAGGATTGGCTAGCCTGGGCTGGGAGGAGTGGCCCTACACATGAATACAATTATAATATCTGGGTTTTTTTAAGCTTAATATCTTTTTTTTTTTTTTTTTTTTTGGTTCCTGTCTGCTAATGCTGTCATCTGTGTCCGTTTAGATGGATTATTAGCTTCCTGATATGAGTTGTGTTTCTGGCTTCTTCCAATCTTTGATTGGATTCCAGACATTGTGAATTTTACCTTGTTGGGTGCTGGATATATTGGTATTGCTCTAAATATTCTTGAGCTTTGTTTGGGGATGGACTTAGGTAATTTGGAGTCAATTTGATTGATTTGGGTCTACTTTTATGATTAGGTGGGTCTAGAGTATCCCCACGGCAGCATTCCTGGTGGATGCCAGTGTGCAAGTGTGTGTGTGCAAAGACTAGAGGCTGGGGCCAAAGCCCCTGACTCCCCTAAAGCTGCCCCGGCATCTAGTTCCCCCACCACTCTCAGTTATACTTCCTCTGCCTTCCATTATCTAGATCCCCGCTCTGACCCCCCTCTTCCTGTCTCCCCTTCTTTTGCAGGGACTCCCCTGCCTCAGCCCCTCCTGCGGCAGCGTTTCTGCTCCAGGCACAGGCTCAGTCTGCTCGCCCTGAGCGTCAACATCCTGCTGCTGGTAGCCACGTGTGTGATCGGGTCCCAAAGTGAGGGTCACAGGGACCAGGAGGGGTGGGGGAGGTGATGGGGAAAGAGAAATGGGCAGTGCTGGGGCAAATATGGAGGCAGTGGTGCGTAGGGAGGGGGATAGGCACACAGATCAGATGACAATGGGGGCTCTCATACGGGACACAGCCCCCTTCACTTTGTCCTGTCCCCACTGTCTCCTGACAAGGAACGCAGTTGCAGATGGAGTTGTGGACCCTAAAAGAAAAATTCAGCAACTTCTCCTCTAGCACCCTGATGGAGATGGAGGCTCTGAGCTTCCATGGTGAGTGGGAAGGCACCTGTTGTGAGGGTTGGTGCTGGTGTCCAGTGCTGAGTCTGCAGTGGGGGCATGCTTGGTGCTGTGGGCTGCGGGCTGGGGCAGATCACCCAGCCTGAGATACTGGGTAAGGTTCAGGGCCACTGAATCTGAGCTGAGGGATGAACTGGGGTGAGGCAGGTAGAGGATGGATTAAAACCAGGCAGGGAAAACAGAATCTGTGGCACCAGGCGTGAGGGAGACTAAACAACTCCAGCCTGGCAGAACTAGGTGTTGAGAGAGCAGAGAGCAGGTCGGGGCTAGACCATGCAGGTTAATGATGAGAGTAACGATGTGAGGCTTTATTTGGAGGGAATGGGGACCTATTGAAGGGATTGAAGCAGGGGAGCGACCTGAGCAGGTGTGTGCTTCAGAAGTCTCTGTGGCAGCTCAGGGCACCTCCTAGATGTTGGGGCGCCAGGGGGTGGGGACCGCAACATCCCAGGTCAAGGTGATGGTGCCAGGACTACGCCCCAGGGAGGTGAGGACGCCCGGAGTTAAGGAGACAGAACCGAGAGGAAAGTTTAACTCCTCTCCCCGCCCCGTCCCTTGTTTTCAGGAGGCAGCTCTGGGAACAAAGTGACATCTCTAGAAACCAAAATGAACAAACAGCTGTTGGACCTGAAAACATGTGAGAAACCCCTCGGTAGTGCGTGAGAGGTGTGCGCCCGCGTGGCGTGAGTGTGGCGTGAGTGTGCTGCGCATGTGTGCGTCCACAGCCCAAGGCCTGTGCTGGGTCGTGAGGGTGGAGGGGCAGAGAGGCACCCACACAGCCCACATCGTAGCCCGTCCCTCTGTCCCTCTAGATCATTCCACCTTGCTCCTTCATCTGAAGCACTTCTCAGGGGATCTGCGCACCCTGTCTTGTCAGATGGCGTTCTTCCGCAGCAACGGTAGGGAGAGGGGCGGTCCCTGGTCCCTTTGTGCCTGTCCCCTCAGCAGGATCTCATCTCCCGCTGCCCCCTCACAGGCACAGAGTGCTGCCCGGTTAACTGGCTGGAGCATGGAGGCAGCTGCTACTGGTTCTCTCGCTCTGGGAAGACCTGGCCGGAGGCTGAGAAGTACTGCCGGCTGGAGAACGCCCACCTGGTGGTCATCAACACCAGGGAGGAGCAGGTGAAGCTGGAGCCTGGGTGGAGGCAGGAGGAACCCTGGGGTGTGCACTCTGGGGGGTGGTTCAGGCTCGCTTTATTAAGGTTTTTTTTTAACCTAAGGAAGACTCTAGAAAGGTTCTGGGAGGTTAAAAATAAATTAATTTTTATTTTATTCTTTTTTTAGAGATTTATTTATTTATGCATATAAGAACTTTTTAGAGATTTATTTATTTATGCATATAAGAACTGGGGTGTAGGCCAGAGGTTTGGATTTGGTGTGAGAGGATTCACCAGAGACAGAGTGGGGAGCAGAACAGGCAGACTGATTGAAATACACTGCTGAGGGGAGCAGTGGGAAAGACAGGAGAGGTCTGCTGTGCCATGTGGGTTATCTCCCTGGTCAGGGATCGAACTCAGAATGTGGTGACTGGCAATAACAGCTTTATAGCGCTGAGACTTCAACCTTGCGCCACCAGGGAGGCCACTTAGGTTGTATTTTCATCCTGAGAAATGCAGGTCAGTGACCCTTTTAATGTTTTTTGCCTTGACTTCATCTTTATGTGATATAAATAGAATGGGTCTTGATTTTTTAAAAAATTAATTAATTTTTAAAGGACGTAACTTTTTCTTACATCGTTGTTGATTTTGGGATGGTATATGATTTCTCCCCTCAGATGTGGTCTCCGTAGCTCTCTCACCATCAAAGTGCCCACAGTCCATCACCATAATTCCTTGGATCTTTTTCTCTGCAGCCTGGGGCCTGTGCTTAGCCCATTTTCATATCTCAAGCCCATTTTCATATTCTGCTCTGTGGCTGGTTTTTGTTTATGTAGTTTGAATTTCTCTCCTGTGCTTCTTCCCTTTTTTTACTGTTGTGTTAATTATTTTTCTTTGATGTCACATGTCATTCATCTCTCTAATTTTTTGGAGGATGTGAGCTGTTCTCCAATATCTCCTTATTTTCTGACACACTCCTTTCCAAAGTATTTTTTAAGATTTATTTATGCACGCAAGAACTGGGGTACAGGCCAGAGTGCAGGGAAGAGCGGGGAACACAATAGGCAGACTGTGTGAAATACACTGCTGAGCGGAGCAGGGGTCAAGACAGGAGAGGTCTGCTGCGCCATGCGGGTCACCTCCATGGCCAGGGATCAAACTGGTCCTGTAGTGGCTGCGGAGAGCTTCATAGTCTTTGCTCAACCCCTTCCACCACCAGGGAGGACCCTCATCTTTATTTTTGCATCACTTCCATGATAATATTCTTGCTGTGCTACTTTTGTGAATAATCTCAATCTTTCTTTCTTGTCTGTTATCTATCCGTGAGTAGGGGAGATGAACTCACCTAGACTCTGCTCTGATCATCTGGTGCTACTTGACTATTTCTTCTGCATCACAGAGGACTGGCTATTGATGATTTATATTTGTTGTCTACCTTCTTCTGGTGAAAGAAAGTGGGGTCTAGGGCAATGGGCAGTAGCGGATGGAACATTTTGTCCTGAGACACTTTCCCTCAACCTCTGCTGCCCCTCTGATGCAGGCAGCAACCCCACCAGCTTCTGAGGGTTGCCCCTTCGTGCACAGGACATTGTCCTATTTGCTGGATTCTAGAATTCAGGGGTGTGATATGTCTACCCATAGATGAGAGAGTTAACTGCAACCTTAGTTGGGTCTCTAGGAAGTGAGAAAGGAATCAGGAAATTTCCTTCAAATGCCATTGGAGACTCTTCACATGTTGTCAAAGGGAACTGCAAGGCGTGTGTGTTGGTGAGCCCATCCCTCTATTTCCTCCACAAAACCAGGTGATCATACCCTCTCCCTGCTACTTTCATAAACCATGGGGATTTATGTTCCCAGAAGTACCAGTATCTGTACAGGAGGCCACTCGGGGGGTCTGCTGTCCTAAGGGAGCTATTTCAGCAACCCCTTTCAAACCAGCCCCTGCCCACTGGCTGACCGGGCTGCTCCTCACACCCAGGGCAGCCTCCCATTTGCAGGACAGCTGGCCAGACCCAAGGTAGCCAAGTCCTAACAGGGCCTTGGGCCCTGGGTCCAAGCTTGAAAATTCAAGGCCTGGCAAAGCTCTGAAAATGTCAGCTACATAGAATCTGATGTATCTGAGAGGAGAGTGAGACCAAGATCCTTAGCAGTGCCAGGGTGCATGGGGGCTGCAGGGCCAGGGGCCAGAGTTGAGATTCCAAGAGTTAGAAGTGTGGGCAGAGACAGCGAGAAGACCTGAGTCCAGTGGTGCTGTGAGTTGGGAGTAAAGTGGGAGGCCAGGTACAGTTGCTGCGAGCTCAGGCACTAGATCAACTTCGTGGGCTCTACTTATTCTCATGGGTAATGTGTGCCTCATTAAGCCACCCAATTTAGAAGGTCTCATGAGCATTAAATAAAGTAAGCCCTGTAAAGCGTTTAGCTTGAGGTCCAGCCCAGTGTGTGTACATTCAGCTGACAACAGCTATGGTCACAGAAGAGAAACATGGAACTAGTGGTAGTGGGAGCTGATGCTTCAGCCTGGAGCAGGTTAGGCTGGGGAGGGCTGAGGGAAGCCCAGCTGATGCCTATATGGCCGTACCAGGGACTGGAAGCACTTCTAACCCCACCCTGTTCTGTTTTCCAGAAATTCATTACACAGCACACGGAGCCCTTCCATACCTGGATAGGCCTCACTGACAGTGATGGCACCTGGAGATGGGTGGATGGCACAGACCATAGGCTTAACTACAGGCAAGTTCCCTCGTTAGTTCCCACCCCGTTAGTTTGGCCTTGGGACAGCCACCTGGTCTTTCACCCCAACACATCAGTCCATTCCCTCTCATCCTTCAGGAACCAAATCCCTCCCTCTCCCCCTCAAACCCCCAACCTCCACGGCTACAACTCTGCACCCTGAGCCCAAGGTGAGGTGGAGGTGTGGGTTGCTGGGATGGAGGGGAGCTCAGAGCTTGTCCTGCCTTCTTAGGAACTGGGCTCCCTTGCAGCCAGACGACTGGACGGGGCACGAGGTGGGTGGAACTGAGGACTGTGCGGAGATGAGGCCGGATGGCCGCTGGAACGACGACTTCTGCCTGCAGATGTACCGCTGGGTGTGTGAGATGAAGTTGAACATCACGGGCTAGGAGCCCGTCCTCCAGCATGTCTTTCTGATCTGCACCCTACCCAGCCCTGTCCCAGCTTTTTATTGGGGAATTTGAAGAAGGAAGAAAAGAGTCAGAGGCATGAGGAAGGGTTGAGGACAGATAGAAGGGCGTGGATTAAGAACCTCAGATCTGAGAGGCTGAGAACCTATCTCCTACTGCAATTCATTGGAATTAGAATTTTGAGCCTTCAGTGGAGTTGGAACAAAAGAAACTAATACTTCAGACTCTGTGTGGATTGGTTATTTGGGCTTGGGAGATGTAGGGTGCAAAGAAGAAAGAGAGGATAGGGTTTAGAAAAGAAAAAGTTTATGTCCCAGACAGTTGCTCCTTGATACCCAGTAGTAAGACACTTTTCCAGTATGGCTGACTGGAAGCATGGCTGTCTCTTTTGGGACCACAAACACATCTGGACCTATCTCCAGCACAGAAATTGTCAGCAGCAATTTCTACAGTGGGAAAATATGGCCTTTGAAGATCATTCTGAAAGTGACCTTGAAAGGATCTTTAAGCAATTTGATTTTTGCTTTAATTTTTATTACAAAAGTAACATATACTATCAGTAAATTATGTCTCAAATACACACACACACTACAGGCAATGAGTAACTTTCCAACCCCTCCCATTTTCCCCAGTTAAATATTTCACAGATACTGTATTGGTCAGGGTTGCCAAAGAAAGAACCAGTAAGATGTGGATGTATGTATGTATCTATCCACACATACATATACATACACCCACGCATATACATGTACACATACACATGAGTGATTTATTATTAGGGACTGGCTCATGCAACTGTGGAGGGTGGCAAGTCCTGAGTTGACAAGCTGGAGACCCATGAGAGCTGATGGGGTAGCTTGAGCATGAAGGCGGCAGGCTCTAGATGCAGGAAGAGCCATTATTTCAGTATGAGTCTGAAGGCAGGAAAAATGCTAATGTCCCAGGCAGGAATCACTGTTCTACTCACGGGAGGCTTATCTTTTTGGTTCTATTCAAGGCTTCAGTGGATGGGTGAGGCCCACCACACCGAGAGACTAATCTGCTTTACCCAGCCTACCAATTCAGATATTCATCCCATCCAAAAACACCTTCACAGACATACCCAGATGATGTTTTACCAAATATTTTTGTCCTTCTGTCCCTGTCAAGTTGACACATAAAATGAACCATATAAGTCCTTGTCAGGGAGTTTCCTGTGCATTTGCATATTCATGACACTGCATATCATTATATTGTTTGCTTTTCACTTTACATTGTCTTTGGACATCAATCCAATCTATGCTATTCCCTGCCATTTTACCTCTCTGAATTTAAGGGTAGATTACAGAATGTGGATGTGCCACATGCCATTTAATGGTTCTCTGAAGTAGACAAGTAGTTGCTTTAGATTTGCCACATGCTAATTGTTTCAATCAATTTTTATTTCTCAGCTATGCTAGGCGGACCTTTAATTTTCAGCTGCAAAATTTTCTAGGACTTCTTCAAAATATGCATGGTTGGCATTAAATAAATTTTTTAAAAATTATTTATGTATATGAGAACTGGGGTACAGGCCAGATATGTGGGGGGTGAGGATTCACCAGAGACAGAGTGGGAAACAGAACAGGCAGACTGACTGAAATACACTGCTGAGGGGAGCAG